AATTAGAAATACAATTCAAAGTATCAAAATTCTTCCAAAATATTAACCAAAATATACTAAGAATAGGGTTAAATATATACTATAAAATCCGATCATCAGTAGAGAAGGGCATGTTCTTACCCATTATTTTAGAGGAAAGAAACAATTATAGGTCACACTCCTTAGCTAAATAATTGATCGGTAAGGGTAATGTTAGGGACACTAAATTTGTAGACAAAATTTACAAACTAAACGATGTGTCACCAATAGAAATGAGCACGTTTATCAACGCTTAAGTAATAATCCAATCATCAACTTCCAACAGGTAAATACTGTACAATTTGGATATTTTGGGAGAAGAATGATGTAAAAGAAACAACAAAACACAAGAAATTTTCAATATTGCAATCTACAAAACATTAATGCTAGATTGGTGCATTCATTCAACATTCATCATCAACATTCTTCTGCATTCTTATCACAATTGCAGGGAATACTAATGGACAACTGGATATGTAAATCACAGCCCTAAACTAATTCTAATCCTAGTCTTACATCTTCTTTTGGATGACTAGGATTGTACATGTTGTTCTTATCAACAAAAACTAGTCGTTACAGTTTAAATGAAAAAAAAAAAACTAGCCGTTACATTCTTCATCCACATTTGGTCATGTCTTTAAACCTTCAAGGATGCAAGCAGCTTCTATTCCAATACTCCCCTCTAAGTTGTTTCGAGCCTGGACACTAAGTAGATCTTTGAGATATGTGAATCTTTCTTTAGGCAATGGTTTGGTGAAGATATCAATCACTTGATCTTCAATTTTGCAGTAGTGGGCTTTTTGATGTGCCTAGAGTAGTTACATTCTACTACATAGCGTCTCAGATGAAATGGTACTTCCTTTTGATGTGCCTTGTTCTGTGATGGGACACAACGTTTTTTGTCATTGCAATTGCTGACATATTGTCACACAGCGGTGACGTAGGTTCCAATTGAACTTCACCAAAATCCTTCAGCACAAATCTGAGCCAAATGGCTTGAGATGTTGCTTCTGCAGCAGCTATATATTTAGCTTCTGCAATTATTAGTGCAACTTTTTGTTGCTTGATAGAAGCACATGAGAACGCACCTGATCCAAAGGAAAAAGCATACCCTAAGGCTCTCTTTAAATCATCTTCATTGCCTCCCCCAGTTAGAATTGAATATTGTCCTTTCTAAGAGTAGATCCCATAGTTAATTGTGCCATGCACATATCTTAAAACCTCTTTGCAGTTCCTAGATGAGTTTTTGTTGGACAATGCATGAACCTAAAGAGCAGGCTTTCAACATACATGATGTTTGTTCTTGTTGTTGTCAAGTAGAGTAGGCTACCCACAATGCTTCTGTATAAACTTTGATTCACAACCTCAGTTCCATCATCTTGGCTTAATTAACCTTGCATTTAACACCGGTGGAGTGCATACAGATTTACAATCTTTAAGTCCAAACTTCTGTAGTAAGGTCTTGGCATACTTCATTTGATGAATGAAGATCCTACTATCATTTTGCACAACTCCTAAGCCAAGGAAATGATGTAATAGTCCCAAATCAGACATCTCCTAATGTTTCATCATATCATTTTTGAACTCAGTGAGCATTCCTTCGTTGTTTCCTATGAACACCACTTCATCAACATACACAGACACAATGAGAATATCAGAGTTTCCTTGTTTCTTGGCATACAAGGTAGCTTCACTAGAGATTCTCTAGAACCCAATTTTAGTGAAGTAAGGATCTATTTCACCATACCATGCTCTAGGTGCCTATTTTAGCCCATATAGAGCCTTCTTCAACCTATACACCTTATCTTCTACATTTTTAATTTGGAAACCCTTTGGTTGTTCAACATAAACCTCTTCTTCTAACACCCCATTGAGAAATATTGATTTTATATCCAATTAAAACAATTCCAATCCTTTAGTGCTACCTCATCTATCCAGTTGATCGCCTTCACTGGTTGTTTGTGGAAAACCCCATCTATCCAATCAATCGTCGTCTGTTGGCTACTAACCCAAACCCGTCTATCCAGTCAAAATTTGTGTTAACGGTTAGTACGTCAATTTCACAATAGGGTGTGAAAGGGTTTTGCATAAAGCGTTGATTTATGTGTTGAGTTGAAAGTCCTTTTCTTGTTGCATGATCTCTTATATTTATTGGAATAAATTTCGTGATGCTCAAGTTGGAGTGTATGATAGCATTGCAATTCCTTAGCATTATTTTCAATTTCCTCACAAATCATTCTCCACCAAAACCCTACCACCGTCGAGTCTCGCCTTCCTCAACTTGAACTAGGGTTTAGAACCTAGACTTATTATGCGATTGATTCATATTTCATCTAGAAACCAATAATGATTCTTAAGTAATTAATTCAAATCTCATCCAAAAGTCAATCCTAATCCTCAAACAATCCTACTTTGTCTAGGATTCGACCACTCCATTAGCACTGCACTACTAAGCCGAAGTTCACAACCTCCTTTCTAAGTTGACTTCCACCAACTTAGCCCGAACCCAAGATTTCAGACCCAAACAACAACCAAAAAAAGAAAATGATGAGAGCAGGGGGTTTGTCTTCAGTAATTTGGTTACTGAGTAGTCTAACTTTTCATCTATTAGATTGGCAGTTGAGAAAAAAATAATATTTTCTCAATTCAATTTTGATTTTTCATTTTCCATACTACTAAATAGTTCAAACTTATTGAAGACGAGTTAGAACAGGAGAAGCACATCTTATGATATAATATGCACGAGAATGGGAATGTGAATGGGATTTTCCTGGCTGGAAGGAATCCAATCCACTGTCAAGGACCTGGTTTTCCGCGTGCTATTGAATAAAAAATCACTGTCACAGATTTGTTAGACCAAAAGCTGATGCCTCACCAACATCCCAACCCTGGTTTATGGCTTTAATTCTCACAGATTGACATGCATAATTCTGTTCCCACTCCAAGTTGAGACTGAGTATAAGAAATCCTACTGTTCATACTTGTTTTTGGCCCACTTTCTTTAATATATTAACCATATCAAGTCTCCGCTCTCAAATAATGCAATGCTTGCATGTTAATTATATAATTTTCTAAGGAACAGCTAGGCTGGTTTATTTTTATTTTTTATTTTGTGTTTCTGGGTCAATATGCTAAGCTGGTTTCTAGTGCTGCGTTTCCACTTGGAGTGAAGTAGGCATGGAAAGAGGGATCGATCAAACAGCCTTGCAAGCTAGTAATCAATTTTTTTTTTAAAATTAACGAATAAGGAGATTCAAACTTTTGATAGAATAATCTACATTAAATCATTGGAGAGGAATTTGAACAAGGAACTCCAAGTGCAAGGGTGAATATTCTTAATCAACTGAGTTACAAACCACTTGTCAATTTAGTTCAATCAATTAGCTCAATTTATTTATACAAGCACTCATTGAGTTTAGTTTATGAGCACAAAAATAAATTACCAGTTAATTTATCAAGTTAGACCTTTACTTGTACCACAAGAAAAAAAAGAATAAAAATAGAAACCAGACAGCTAACCACTATGTTTTTGTTGATCACATTTTTCATATGTCTAAACAAATGAGAACATACTTGTAAGATCCCACTTCATCCAGGAGAGTGATCCTTATATGTATATTCTCATTCCTACCTAGCACGAGGCTTTTTGAGAACTCACACGAGAACTTCCCAAGCTTGAATCCTGTTATTTTAACTGAGAATGCCGTTACTTATAACCGCAACTACACATTGGTCGAGACTCACACGACAGTCGATACTCAGGATTTCGTTTAGCTAATGGGTCACCCATCGTGGGATTGCCCAGGGAAGTGATCCTTATATGTATATTCTCATCCCTACCTAGCACGGGGCCTTTTGGGAGCTCACTGGCTTCGGGTTCCGTAGGAACTCCAAAGTTAAGCGAGTTCGCGCGAGAGCAATCCTATGATGGGTGACCCACTAGGAAGTTCTCGTGTGAGTTCCCAAAAATAAAACCGTGAGGGCGTGATCAGGGCCTAAAGCGGACAATATCGTGCTATGGTAGAATCGAGTCCGAGATATGATGGGGGCCCGAGCCGGGACGTGAGATACTAGTTTTCTTCATACAACCACCACGCGATTTGAAGTTTTGAACCCATGTGTAGTCTGTAAAAGCTGGATCATTGGCCATTAGGATTAGAGTGTAAATTAGAATATTATGTTAAAATTCTATTGCTAAGCTATCCCACCCACCCCCATTTACTTATCGTATTAACCTGTCTTTTTTCATCCTTTTTAATGAAAGATTATAATCTTTTGGAAATGCTTTAATCCACTAATAATAACTCCATTCAAATTGAAGAAAATACTACTACTGCATTGGATAGAAATTGATAAGTTGGCTGCTTAAGTGGTATATGAAAACTTAATTCGTATATATAATTAATTACTAATTGTATTGGTCAATGAAAACAATAGAACTTCAACATAATAAGACTATATTTTGTTTTTTTGTTGGAAGACATTTGAGTAATAAACACGAATTTTCCTTCTAAAATACTTTTACTAACATATTCCCTACACCATATTGACCAAAAAATAAACATTCCCTACATCAATAACGTCGTCGTATCCTAGTTTGATCCCGTCCACGCCTCCAGTTTTCCTTTCCACGCCGCCCCCGGGCCCCCCACAGAAAGCTTGGAAAATTCCACTTTTTATCTCTCTATTTTTTCCAGTCGACATTTCCACACATAATCTATCCCAAGTCCCGATGATCACAGCCACCGACTCCAATCCCAAGTGGACCCTCCCCACCCTCCCATCAATCACAGCTCTTCATTTGGTCCTCAATATCCAACTTTTTCAAACCCCACAACCCGTCAAAAAAGGCATCATAGAAAACCCGAAGAAGCTCGCATGAACTAACATGGAAACACACCAAAACACAATAGCTCTTTACTTATTTCCTCTATAAATATCCCACAAAAAAAAACCCCATTGCTACTGCAAACCAGTCACAAATGGAAAAGCTCAGAAGATCGTCCAAAAACAAGACCGATGTCGCTTGCAAGAGGCACCCGAAACACCAACAATCCCCGGGCGTTTGCTCCTTGTGCTTGAAGGAAAAGCTAGAACGAGTTGCTCACAAGCTCTCAACTTATTCTGTCCCCTACTTGCATAGAACTTTTTCCGCTTCTCCTTCTACGACTTCTTCTTTATCGTCGTACTACTCGTCCTCTTCAGCTTCTTCTTCTTCATCTCCCGCGCCAGGTTACGATCAAAAGGGTTCGATATCTTGGTTGTTGAGCGGTGAAAATAATGTGCTTAGTAAAAGTAGGTCGCTGGTGAATTATTTTCCGAGACGAAAGAGGAAGATGGGAAGTGAAGAGAAGAAGAAGAGTCGGTTTTGGACAAAGTTGCTTCGTCCCATAAGTAAGCGGAGGGAAGAGGGTTTGATGCACTCTAGGACTGTAAGAGAGATCAGGGTTCCTAATAGGGTGCTTTGAACTTTGAAGGCCAAATTATTTAATTTTTTTTTTATTGTTGTTCTTTTTCTTGTTTATTGATAGATTAGAATGTACGTAGCAGACTTCTGATCACAATTTTTGAATCAGAAAGCTGACAAAAGGAAAGAAATCAAAGATTGTACTATTAATTTGTGCATATCTACCACAGCCTATATATATGTTTAAATATATATGTTTAAATATTATGTATCGTGAGATTATACATGTTTAATTAGCCTTGGAATTTATGATTTAGCTCTTAATTCTGGATTACTAAGAGTCATAAACATCGTCAAGAGAACTAATTAAAATTTGACAACATAACAAAGACCCGCTTAAGCTGCTTCATATATAGGACATTCAAGCAGCATGAGGTTCAGGTTGTCCATTTAATTAAGATCCTATATTATAGAGTAATGTTATATTGACAAACTAATTAGGCAATATTTATGCTAGCACATGATCGATTATACCAGAATCAATTACGTACGACTCCATACAAGAATTCACGTTATCAATGTTTATAATCATATCCTCATATCCCTGCAATATAGCTAAGTCTTTAAGTTAATGTCAGACGGATATTTGTATATAGTCGTATGTAGGGACGGAGCTAGAAATTTCTTCTAGTGGGGGCAACCCGAAAATCAACTAAGAAAACCTTATTATAGTATGGCTTATACCTAATATGATACTAGGGATGATTTCAAATGATGATGCATCACAATTCCAATGTTACAAAATTTTCAGTGTAATAGTGGAAAGTGGCAAAGTGATAAGAAAAATATTAATACATGATTACGCGAGGGAGGTTTTTCGGTTTGAATGACAAAACAAGAGCGCTTTTGCTCATACAATATTTAATATGGAGTATATGCAGTATGAAAGTATGTTGGATATTAGATACATATATTTTCTTCAAAGATAACACATGTGTATTATATAATTGTAGTCTACAACTTAACAGATGAATCACTTGAGTGGAGGGGCATATGTCCCCACTGAGCCTTCATTGGCTCTGTCCATGGTCATATGAAATTATGAATCACGCATTCAAATAAGAATCAATTTGATCAATGCTTATATTGAAATATAGCTAGACTGATTGATTATTAAAAACACTCTAGCAGAAGATTCACTTTATATTGCTGCAATAATTTTGGGAATTCAGAAAAAAAAAGGCTCATTTTAGATTTGATTCTCCATGGTATTTTGTTGTTATGGTGTTCATATCGAAGTTGGTGAATTTTATGTCTGCATGAATGATGATAAGACAAAATTTTCATATGTAACAAGAAGGAAACAAACTGGCATGACTTGGTTGTTAGTTCACAGAATCGCATTAATTATATTTGCTAAAATTAAGCTCCATCCACGAAATTTCTTCAAGGATATAAATTCAAATTCCAATGGTCAGCTGCGTGCGCATTCCCACGGTCATTGCACACTTTATCGGGGTTTGATTAATTTGATCCATATTTTCCTTCTGTTTTAATATAAAAATCACAAATGGAAAAGCTTCTGTGACAGCTAGTAAAACATGACCATCCGGTCCAAATTCGTGGCAATTTCCAAATTCCACAAATGCGTTGGAAAGTTCAAATTCTTAAGTAGCTGGCAGGGTAAGGATGTAGATTAACAAAATGTATTCAATAGGATCGACAATCGTACCAACTTGCCAACTCCCATGGGTTTAAACTTTCATAGTACTTGTAGTACCATTACTTGCATTTTAGAAAAAGGAGACGTACGGTACATGGTAAACTTCAATTTCTAAGGAAAGTGATGCTCTTCAGATCCCTTTCTCCTAATCCATTAAGTTTGGAGATCCGGACCATGAAATTCGATTCAACGGCTACAAACAAGGGCTCACTTTAAAAGTTATAATAACTTTAGCCGGATTAAATTTCAATGGCCCGAATCCTCGAACTTGGTGGATTAGGAGGAAGGGATCCGGAGGATCCCTTTCCAATTTCTAATACCTTTCGCACGACACACAAATATTATATTAAGAGTAATGCTAGAGAGATTACATATTTAAACTACATACTTGTATCATTTCATGTGACAAGTGATGCATACAATCAGTGGCGAATCCAGAATTTGAACTTTGGGGGTTCTATTGTTAAATACATGTTTTTTTATATAAGAATAGTGTGTGAAGCACACAAAAAAAAAAAATTTACTTTATTCACTAAGGCATTTTATCGAACACTTTGTCATCTTCTTGTTGTTAGCCAAATCATGTTGTGCATATGCCGAAGCAATCTAATGATAGAGATAATTTGTCAAGTGTTGTCGACGCAACTTGTCGAGATAGGCCTAGCAAGCATCATATCAAACACTTAATGGGCGCAAAAGGTACCCGTACAAAACATTCGGAGAATCCTTATAAGACATTCACAAGGATATTTTTAGGACTCTGTGTGGTCCTAGGACCACCTTGGTCCCTATTTCCATCCGTCCCTGCATACAACCATCATCCAATAAATAGATTTGTTAATCACATAACATGTACGCATCACTTGTCATGTCAAATGGTATAACAACGTGGTACAAAAATGTGATATTCTTAACCTTTTTTTTTAATTTTAATTACAGTCATATATACATAAATTTTTGTGTGTGCTGGAATACAGAGACGAATCCACCCTTGGTTGGGTTGGGCTATAGCCAAACCGAGATTTCAGAGAAAAATGCAATACTGAAGAATAGTCTTCTTCTTCCTTCACACAATCTTCATCACTATAAATTCTTCAGCCATTTTCTCCTCTCTTAGCGCCTAACCTCAAGGCGTTTCTCTTTACTCTTTTCTTGGTCCAAAATCTCCCGTATAACTTAAAAAATTGATCCCTCAAAAGCTTAGTTGTTGTTATGAAGCTGTGCCTACCAACTGTTTGAGGAATTCATCCAACATGTTGTAATATAGATGGACAATAAGATTGATATGTCTCACTCCTAGAATAAAATACTTATTAAAATCACAACTATATGTTGCGGACTAAAATTTGGAGAGAGAACGTAGAGATAGTGTGGCATGAGAAGAAGGAGAGAGAATGACTTACAAGTAATACAATTATATAAGAAAGGATCTTGTAGATCTCATAGCGTTCTTATACATACTTTACTGAGAATTTACACAATCATACAAGTGGTACAACAATACATATATTATATCTTGGTGATATTTACTACGTGGCGGCTTCAGGTACACCAAAAGTATTATATAACCAATTCAATACACTAGAAAAACAATTATATTCCCAACACCCTTTATTATGTGCCAGATCTCTGTGTGATTTGGAAAGAGCTAGCAAAATTGCATTTGTATTGAACAAAGAAATATCGGAGAATAGGATCATACATCAATGATATGATAAAACAATATACAATTAATATATGGGAGTTTTCACTCTTATTATTACCAAGACCTTTTGTATAAAATATGATTAAATTTGAACAATATCGGTAATATTAATGGTGGACCATGATTGACCACACAAAATTTATCAAGAATTATGTGGGAAACTTAATTGAGGAAAAAAAAAATTAAGCAGTTCATGTTTTCATATCACGTTGCCTACCGAATGAAATTTTAATTATAAAATAAAGAATGAGAAACCCCAACGTGATTACATGATAAGCCTTAATGATGGAGCAGATGGATGAACTGATAAGAATAATATAGGCTGTCATATGTTTGTCATGAGCTTATGATTCAATGGTTAGATAGAATGACAAATGTCAATAGATTGTGAGTTGAGTGTGTGGCTTAGTTAGTAAGCTACCTAGTCTGGTATATAATCAGTATGTGTAACCACCTTGTACTGAGCTAGTGAATCATTACTAAATTGAATATTCTCTCTCTCTCTCTCTCTAAATCTCTACTTCTCTCTCTATCTCTTTCTTTCTTCTTCTGCAAGATACAGTGAGTTCTTCATAGTTTACATGAACCTGCTAGCCTTCTGAACAACAAAATGGTTACCTTTTGCCATCGTTTTCCGGATAAAGCCAAATAGTATAATGTTGACATACTTATAGGTTAAAAATAATAATAAATTGGAAGTGCAGCATGTTGCTTATGATTAACATCTATATACCATATGCATGGTTTGGAAGTGCATGCATCCACCATGCATGCATGCATCAACGATAGATTTTTGTCTGCTGTTTTTGATCGATATATCTCTCATTCATCACGTTGGTTGGAGGACTATACATATGCATACAATCAAGACATTAATATCGTTTAGGGTGATGGATCAATGATTCGATTCTTTCATGTAGTTAGCCCATAATATATATATATATATATATATACACACATATATGAACGCGAATGGAATCTATTGGGGTTAGTTAGTTTGTCTTATTATAGATTAATCGGAACTCTGAACCTATCTTAATTCTAATTTATATCTTAATCTAAAATGTTATATTCTTCTTTCTGTTTTTCGTTTGTTCATTAGAAATATGACTGGAAAATACATCTAAATATTAAAGATTTATAGGGCATTTACTTTAGGCTATGTTTGGTCTAAAGGCTTTTATATGGCATCATTACAAAAATAAAGGCTTTTATATGGCATCATTACAAAAACATGAGAGATTTGTTAATGACTCATACCAAATAGTGATTTGAAAAATCTTCTCACGTGCATTTATAATGCTCATAAAATACATTTATAATCTTCTATACCTAACATTTGTAGCTCATTCCTCAATTCTTGTTAACTTGATGTTAATTACTTGGAATGTAGAAATCTCCGCCCACTAAAGTGTTGAAAAATTGTTGCATGACACCCTTTCAGTGAAAGCCATTGGGTACGCGAGAATGATTTGAATTCTCCAACAGTGTAAGGCCTCATTTGGCAGCTCGGACAGTACTGATTATTTCAGTCGGATAGGATAAATAGTCATCGGATAGTGCTGACTAAATTAGTCAGACGTTTGGTGCAGTATCAAACTAATAACTGTATTATTTATACTGTGTTCTTGAT